CACACACACACACAAACACACACACACGCGCACACACACACACGCGCACACACAGAGACAAACATGGGAGTGCACATAAGGGCAGAAAGTAACATGAAAATCACTCCTTACCTTAGTTATGAAAATCGAATAATACCTATCTACCCACAGGCAGCTCTCAGCATGAGAAGATCCTTTCTCTGAGTAACTTGCCAGCATAAGAGCATGAATATATGACTGCAAAATGTCTGCGGCAGTTGACTCTTTGTGTGCAATTACTTCAACTATCTTTTCCTTTTCTAGAAGCACGTATTTGCCTGAAAGTTAAAACATTTTGAAAAGCTAATGAGATAGACCCTAGATTATACACATTATACAACGAAAAAACATAAAAGAAGAACCACCTTTCTTATAAAGTGAACTTGCCAAATTGAAAAGCTCCACCCTGTCAATAGTTACACACTGAATTCCACTGCTCCCTGACAAAACAATTTGAAAAGGGCATGCTAAAACACACTTACATTTCAATGTGTTTTAGTGATGAAATTCTTACTCCTAACTTGATGCGTCGATAAAGAAATGAACTGCTCTTTGAGCCCCAAAAATTGATCCATACAGGCAAAACATGTTCCATTCTTGAGACCCGTTGGGGTGAGAGGACTGAACAATGACAGAACTTCAGTTTAGTACTTGCACAGCTTTTACAATATCATGATAAATATCTTCAAGTATGGATATCAACTTGATTAATTTAACCAAAAATTTTGGAGTCTTCACAAAATAAAGGGTGTTCCTAGAAAAACAGGATGGGTGCCCAGTGTACTTCTCTTTGCTCACCCACCTTGCCCTACTCTCACTCTCTTTCCACTCCGCCTCTTCTATTCTCTATTTTTCTGTCATCTTTTCTTTGTTTTTCTGGTTTTTATCTTGAAAAGGAGCACCCAGTCTGTGGGCTACCATGATACCTCACTCTCGTGAGCATTTTTTGTAACTATATCATTTTAGTAATATATTGCCACCTTTACACTAAAGACAAGGAAACAAGTTATGAGGCCATTTACATAATGGTCACAATTAATCTTGACCATTGGATGTGAAAGTAGATGGCTGTATTTATTTCATTGACCAAGCTCAAACTTCAACAACAAAAAATTTCAAAGTTTGTGATTCACATCAAATGGTTGTAAGTAATTGTCACCTCCTTGTATCAAAGGTAAATGGTTTCATTGTATATAATCCCATAAGTTATATGGGTTGTTTGCCAAGTTCTATAGCTATATTACATTAAAGACAAGAGAAGAAGTTATATCAGCATAACCATTTGAAAATGAGAACTGACAACATTGTAAGGAAGGACTGATTAACATGTGAGACAGAATACAACATATATTAAAAGAAATATTTGACAAGACGATGAAACCAAAATGAGTGGAAGAGGGGCCGATAGATTTTAAATAGTGTACATAAGTGGACAATCCACAGAGAAGTATCAAGTCATGACCACAAGATTGGATCGTGTTGGAGTTTGACTCATAAAATGAAGACAAACATTTTTGGGTTCGTAAGCAACAAGAGGAGTCAATGTTCTGCAGGACACGTCTCATCACCCAGCCATCTAGCGTCAACAGCTGAAGGCTAGGGGCATCTCATTCCTCTATTCCATGTCCGGAAAACTTTCTGATGGACTTTGAGTGGATGAACAAAATGATGTGAAGTTTCTTACAGAACTTCACTATGCAGATTTTCCAAAAGTGTATCACAACTCGCAGCATCCGAGTCGGACTCAACCGATTTACTTGGACCCAGTAAGGTACAGGGTCTGACTAAATAACCTGGGGAGAGTCTCACTGGTTACCAAGGTTCCTTTGTTATTTCATGAAAGATTCAGCTAAGTCTATCCTGCTGACAGGACTCAGGCCTGCAACCATGCAGAGCCGAGTAACCCTTGAATCAGGCCCTGCCTGGTTCCAGGCCCGGGTCCAAGTTTAAAAACAACGATTTCCAGTATTAACCCCCTTACAGTGCCCATACAAACACAATAGAGCAAAATATCCCTCAACAATAACAATATTGTAGTGACATATTTTAAGGTAAAAGTATCCTCAAGACATGATTTAGAAAAGAGAAAAAGATGCATCATGTGCATTGCAAGAACAAACACAATTTGTTTCGCACGTAACACGAAAGTTCACATGGTCAGTACTTTTGGACCATCACCTTGGCCAGTGTCCATGAAGTGCTGCAGCAGTATTGAGGTTCTCTCAGTGTTCAATGTAGTCAAACACAGGCACCGGACAGCTTTGTAGTTTGCTGTAAATAGACAGAGAAAGAAATACCTTTTAAGTGACAAATAGTAACTGGCAAAGCTTTACAAGGAGGAAGCCCCCACTAACCATGATACATAAAAAACAGAGGAAAGATGAAGCAACTAAATCAATCTATGATCGAGGTTGCACCACCACCGTTTCAGTGCTCAATAGATTTAGTTCCAACTCCTGAATAATATATAAACAGGGCAAATTCCCCAGAACCATATACCAGTATTGCACATATTTCTTAATTTAGTCTCCTTGAACCATCTGGATTTAGTATCTAATGTTTGTTTGCAGCATTAATCTCTTAGATATGAACACTCATTCCATAGTACTCCCACATAACCTCATATATTCTGGTTCCATAGAAGTAAGAAGTGCTTCAATAAATACAAATGCCATTATCCAGAATAGATATTTAAATGATTGCTTATAAGGTTAAATTTTAGGCGTGAAACCCCAACCATGACTGAAGGGAAACATTACTGCAATTCACCATTTATTCAGATGCTAAGAATGTGGAGATCTGCAGTCAGTAATGTTACAAAATGGAGAATATGGGAACTAAACTTACCAAATAAATGAAAAAGAGTGAGTGACAGAAAAGAGAACCATATAAATAGTGGCTGTCCCCTAGTAACATGTGCAAGCAGCATGCCCATTACCATTCCCGCCATTGTGGCAACTGTCTCCTGGCTTCCCTCCTGTACATGTTATAGCAAGTGAAGTAATGAACTGGTCATACAAAAATGAAGCAAGCTGCTTTGTACCACTGAAGAAACCATTAGTCCATTGGGTCATCAGTAAGGGCGATCAAGAGAGAGAGGGACACACCATTCAGATCATGAGAGAATATACCTTTGCTGATATGTCTGCTGCATTGTTTTCAAGCGCAAAATGTTGAGTCAAAGCTGCTCTAGTGGCACCACTTGCAACACCAGCTGTGAGTACCATAATACAGTCAAAAGGGGTACTGTCAAAACCCAAATAATGTCAACTAAAGAGTGCATCTTTTTCCTTGCTGACTAGTAGAGCTCAAGTAAACTAGGTCAAAATAAGACCTCCATATCACTATGCTACGTAAATCTACTCAAATATATTTTCCATAAGCTATGAACAAGTAAATTTTTTATTTATCATCGTCATTAGAGCCTTATCCCAACTATTTGGGGTCGGCTACACGAATCTTGTTCCGCTATTCTCCTCTAGCAAAGGTCATACCCTCAGTAAGAGCATAAGTCCCAATATATTTTTTCACTATTTTCATCCATGTCCTTTTCGGTCTACCCTTTGCCCGTTTAGAGCCTTCCACTTTAACCAAATCCCACCTCCTCACCAATGTTGCAGTGGGTCCGCGCTGCACAAGTGAATTTATTTTTTTTAAAATTGAATTATGTATGTCTTTTTTAGAAACTTCTTTTTTTTTTTATCAAGGTCACATAGGAATGGAACTTGAGATATTGTGCTATGAAAACCCAGCCTCTACCGTCTTGACCAAACCCCGATTCCTATGTATATTCCTATAAATATCCTCAAGAATTTGGATTTTGATGGTTACAAGGCTAGTCCATGACCATTTCTATTCTTTTTTTTTTTCAATATAAAGTAAAACCCTCACTTTCGAGCAAAAAAGTGTTATCAACAGAGACATCTAATCAAGGTGAAAAGACTATAAAGATTTAATGCACAATAAAAAAATGAAAGGCGACGAACTTCCTTCCATGCATATCACAATTGGGCGCTAAAGACCTTGCATAATTTCTTTAAGAACAAAGAAACATCTTAACAGGGCAATAAAAGCAAACAAGAAGTCCATGTCCAAGTCTATGAAGCCAAAGAGACAAAACATATGACCGAAAGAATGTCCTAATGTCCTGTGCACCAAGAGTTAAATAGGCTAGAGTAGATCAGTAATATAGATTGAATAATAGCAGGAGCATCTAAGCATATAATTACCCTCTCAGGTGCTCATGCAATAAGCAGCCTTGACGAAAAGAAAACTAGACAGATCAAATCAACAAGTTTTCCATCAAAATCAAATTTGTGGGCACATCGGAGACTTAGAACATATTAAGGATGACAAGTGGTGACTTGGTGAACTTGATTAAAGAAAGAACGTTATAAAATACAGCCATAATAGCAGAAAAACAAGAGAAGCTCTGGAAAGAGGAGATGAGGTGATTCTGATTAGGCAATGAGGCAATGTATGGATTCTAATTGGCATCCAATTTTGGTAAAGGATGATTCATTGAACACAATCTCTGGGGCATCCAATGAAGCCAAATGCCAGCGGTGCTTGGAGAAGATTCTTGGAGAAATTTTGAATTATGTGATATTTCTGAAGTTGGGTTTAGGCATATTTGGAGAGAATAAAACAAGTTAGAGGACTTCCTAGCAAGAGAAGAAATCTAAAATTCTTCAACAACAGTAAACGGTAGAGGTCCTAAAGTATGGATAATGTCCCATTACAAGGCTGTTTTGTCTCTCAACCGTAAATGGTGTATATCGCATACAGCATTTATAGTTGTACATCTTTTATACTTATTAATGATCTTGTTAACAATGTAAAAAACTGTATATTATATATGTGTGTGTGTGTCTATCCTTCACCATGGCTAAAAGAAATTGTCATTTTAACAAGGAAAATTGTTTCATGCAAGCTGGACCACATGACTACATATGCGGTCCAAAAAGTGTAAAGCATCCAGCTTAAAGATGGATGCAACCATCTAAAAACAAAGGAATCTAACGGTCCAAATGTTTTCTTATTAGAATTATTATTTCTAGTTTTAAAAATTCGCTTATTTTTTCATATTCATGATCTCCATGTTAGATATTACATGTCCTTAAAAATTAAGTCCAAAAGTCCATCTCACAAATACAGTTATTAATAGGCCCGCATTCTACATATGTGGGCTTGGCCACATAGAAAACTGGTCCTTTTAAGACTTTTCAAAGCAACGTCCTTCCCCATAGCATGAACTATTTTATAACCTGAAGAGAAACTGTCCATGATGAAGAACACTTCAAAAAACATTTAGAAAACAAAGTTTTCAGAAGCTATAACTGAAGTCACTTTCTTAACAGCAGTTCTCTTCAGGTCTAGTATGCTTTTGTATCATTCTTAGAATATAGAATCTCACAGATATAAACTCAGATAAAAAAATTTATTGTTTAAGAAGTTCGCTATTACGCATAGTATATGCTGTATCTGTAATTCTAAGCTTAACACCTTAGAACTGAAGCTTTAGCATCAGAGGAGATAAAAAAGCTCCTAATCCATGATCTTGTAACTCTGCCACCATTACTAATCAAATCAAACCTAATTGACTGTATGCATATAAAAGTTTTAAATGCATCAAAACTTACTGAATGATCTTGATAGGCTCCCTAAGCAAATTATTACAACAAATCCAGAAGGAAAAATGGGGGAAACAAGGTCCATCAACATACCTGCAGCAGAAACACCATGCTGGACGAATCAAATAAACAAATTAAAGAAATAAAAGAAAACAGCTAAAATGGCATGAAAAATCTCCAAGTTTCTAGCAGGAGCAGTCTTCATGGTAACCCGTAACTTATTGCAAATACTCTACAAAACAGAAGTTCTAACTGCTAATAAGACAGAGTGGAATAAACCAAATTGAACTAGAAAATATTAGAAATGAGTACTTATAGAAGATCTGGCTAAAACCAAGTGATCTACAAGGTTGCACATCAAGCCAACACCTAATTCATTCATGTGTGAAGAGCCACACAAAGATATAGATTTACATTGTTTCTAATCCTAATTAATTACAGACTAGATAAGGGTACAAATACATTCAGAAATTACATATTCGTCCTCTACAATGAATATGAACTACAAATACAAAAACAAGTTACAGCAGTAAATAAAATTACCAATATCCCCCTGACCAATTATGACTAACACTCCCCCCAAGTTGTACATCGTATTTTAACATGTATAATTTGTCCTTCAATTACTGATGCCATTCCTTTTATAACCCTTTTGTAGATATGTCTGCTATTTGATCGTTTGTGTCCACAAATCTCGTTTCAATTTCTCTGACTTCAACCTTTTCCCACACAAAATGATAATCGACCTGAATATGTTTAGATTTATCACAAAATGCTATGGATCATGAATGTCAGGCCCAATGCAGATATCAAACTGTGGATCGATAAAATCTCCGATATAATACTCCTTAATGCCCAATGTTCAACTTCAGTAATTGACCTAGCTACTGTCTCTATTTGATACTTCATGATATCAAGTTTTTCCCAAGATAAACACGAAATCCGAAGACGGACCTTCTTGAATCTAGGTCACCACCCTAATTAACATCTGAATATCCCAATATTGATTCTATGTGCAGATTCTTCATATCATTTTTATGTTAAAATATGCCATGGCTCATTGTTCCTTCAATACATCTGATTATTCTCTTTGAGGATTCCATATGACATGAATTGGGCATATGCATAAATGGACATACCTAATTCACCGTATATAATATATCTGGTCGTGTTAATTAGAGAAACTATAAAGCCCCTTCAATACTCCTGTACTTCTCTAGTTCTCTTAACAATTCCCCTTCATCCCTGCGCAATTTGTTTTCATGGCAACAGGTATTCAGGAAGGTTTGTAACAAATGTAAGGCATATGATGCAACACAAGATGCGTCTTATTGTTTAGATTTTTCTAGGATTATTTTTTTAGGGTTTTAAGTTTTTTTAGGGAGTCTAGGATATTTTATATGTTTTAAAAATTTTAGTAGATGTTCATAAAAGTGGTTAGAATACTTATGAACTTACTTGTTTTCTTAGGGGTAAAAGTGCCATTACAAATGTTCTTTTAAGTGAAGGGACTTATGGGATATTTTGATAAGTTTTAACTTAAGCCGGGATAGTTTTTGTCCTTTTCCATTATAATATAATAAAGGGCCTTGGTGTTAGGGTTTCTAGCATTGTGGGGTATCAACAATGTTTTGGGGTCTCTTTGTTGTATAAGGAAAGCCAGATCCACTCAAATCTAGCCCGTTTTGATGGTTTATTGAGATTCTTTTTGTCTATTTTCTCTATTTTCCAGTATCAAATTGGTATCAAAGCCCACGTTTTTTCTTTAATAACAAAGCAGGGAATCTACAGCCAAGTCTAGAGTTGCTGATTTTAGGATAAGTTTTACCAAATCAGCATAGAACTTGCTGGCTTCCACTAAGTTTTGTTGATTCTCTGCCTAGGGTTTGGGATTTCGGTGAACTTTATGGTAGCAAGAAGAGGTCCACGCAAGGGTATTCATATGGATCCACCTCGTGATGAGCGGGATCAGGAGATAGAGAACTTGAATCGACAAGTTCAAGAACTTACAAGGTGGCTTGCTAGCATCAATCATGCGCGAGATGAAGTTTTGTCCATCCAAGACAATGTTGAGTACAACCCTTTTCACAATCGTGCTCCATGGGATGAGTCGAGTGAAGAGGAATATGATCAGAGGCATAGGCGGCACTCAAAATCCATAGATCTAAAACTAAATAATCCTAATGTTGAAGGAAATTCACAGCCCGACTACTTTATAGACTGGTTAAATACAATAGCCTTTGAGTAAAAGGATGTGCCAGAGAATAAAAAGGTTCAGATTATTGCCATTAAATTGAAGAAAATGCTTTAGTACAGTGGGAACAACTGATAGAAAAGCGAGAGAGAATGGGAGAGCCCAAAATTAACACCTGGGAGAAGATAACAAGAAATTAAAGGAAAAACACCTACGTGAAAATTATCTATATTCCCTTTATCATAAGATGAATTTTTTCATCAGGGAGAAAAAATTGTGGATGAGTACACAGATGAATTTCATCAGTTGATGGCACGAAGTGATGTGGTTGAAAAAGAAGAACAGTCCCTAGCTTGCTATGTGGGTGGTAAGAGAACATCTACACAAGATGTGGTAGTTTTGCAGTGTTACTGAACATTAGATGAGGCTTACAACCTAGCTTGGGATATGGAGAAGAAACCCTAGATTTCTTTGAATTATTCTTACGTTTGGCTTTGTTTCTTTTGATTTTATTGTTCTTCAATTTTCCTACATCACCAGCTATATAGGTTATTAAATTAGTAGGTAAGTTTGATATCAATGTTCTTTTAAGCGAACCAGACTGTTTGAACTAAGAATCAATGAACTGAGCTCTGAATCGGAATAGCCATCAAACCGGACTTGAACTGCAGAAGTCTCTCTTTCTCTACACATGCATTGATAGATTGACGTTCTTTATCTTCTCCCCCTTAGCCTTGTAATGGAAGATGTTTCTTCTTTGTCTAAGTCAAACAAAGTCAGCACTAGAGACAAAGATATTTCTTAGCCTGTGCGTGTAGGGAAAGAGATGGATCACTTGAAAGTTTACCTTTTTCTTTTGGAAGGTTTGTCAGTTTGTCAAACTCACCCCACACGCCTTCAGGATTTGCCGCTCGATGGATCACCCGATCCATCAGTTGATCGAACCTTTGAGCCAAACCCGCCATCGATTGCACAACTTGGGTTTCAAGGAACTCATGCAGCTATTAGATCTCTAATCCGACCAATCAAGCCTTTTTTATGCCACTTTCATGCATTGAATCGGAGCATGAGGATTGATCGTTTCCTTTGATCAATTGTTGTTCTCCTTTCTCCAACAAGGACTTGAGGTATTTATGTAATTCAAATTTGGAAATTGAAGGATCCTTTTATTTTGAGGAGTTCCTTAGTGCACATACTACAAGTTCTTGCATATTTTCTTTTTGTTTGTAATACGCTTGCCCTCGATTTACATTAGTCTCTCTCTTAGTCCACAACGTTAGAAAAAGCAACTACCTAGTGCTAATGATAGATATGCTAACTCTTTTGCAAATAAAATTTTTGCAAAATATATGAGAAATTTATTGGCGGATCTTCATGAAGTTGCCAGAAATATGTGAGATTTCTCTCTCTAAAATCCTTCTCACTGAGATTTGTTCCAAGCCCCGTGTAGAGGGCTTTCCATTTTCCTACCAATTTCCTTCCATTAAACACCATCATCATCATCCACAAGCCTAATCCTAATTATTCGGGGTCGGCTACATGAATCATGTTCCTCCATTCCTTCCCTATCAAGGGCCATATCTTCAATAAGACCAAAAGTCACCATGTCATTTCTCACTACTTTGATCTATGTCCTTTGGGCTTTCCCCTTTGCCTTTTAGAGCCTCCCACTTGAACCAAATCACACCAGTTACACTTGAACCAACCTCCTAATCGGTATTGTATTAGGTCTATAGTACACATGGCCAGCCCACCTAAGTCTATTTTCCCTCATCTTATCACCTATTGAAGCCACACCTAAGCTCTTTCGTACGCTTTTATTCTGCATTCTATCATTTCTTGTCTTGCAACTCATCCATCTCAACATCTTCATCTCAGCTACGCCCATCCTATGGATATGTATTTCTTACTACCCAACATTCCGTCCTATAAAACATGGTTGGTCTTATAGCCATCCTATAGAACTTCCCCTTCGGTCTCAATGGTACGCAAGTATCACATAAGACTTCTGATGGACATATCCACTTCACCCACCCAGCTCAAATTTTATGGGTGACATCTTCCTCAATCTCTCCATTCTCCAAGATTATCGACCCTAGATATCATAAACAATATCTTTTAGGTATTTCTTGATCAACAATTTTAACTATTTTCTCATTTTTACTCCTATTATTACTAAATTTGCATTCCATGTATTTTGTCTTAGTCCTAGTCCGGCCAATTATAAAAATTTAGATTCTAGAGCCTACCTCCAACGTTCTAATTTTGTGTTGACGCTATATCAAGGCTCAACAATCAATATTATGCCATCCGTAAACAACATATACCATACCTCATCTTGTAGGTGCCTGGTTTAACTCATCCATAACCCAAATAAAGAGATATAAGCTTAGCATTAACCCCTGATGTAGGCCCATTGTCATTAAGAAGTCACTTGTCTCTCTACTAGTTGTCTGCACACTAGTTAGCGCTCCCTCGTATATGTCTCTCACTGTGTCGATATAGCCTCTGGTGACTCCTTTATTTTCCAATACCCACCAACTTAAATCTCTAGATACCCTGTTGTATGCTTTCTCTAAATTAATAATCACCATAGGGAGATTTTTCAGCTGCACCCTAAACTTCTCGATCAATTGCCTAAGTAGGAAAATGGCTTCGATAGTTGACCTCCCTGATATACAACCAAACTGATTTTTTGATATACTTGTTTGACACCTTAGTTGTTGCTCAACCACTCTCTCCCACAGCTTCATAGTGTGCGGCATAAGTTTAATCCCTCGATAGTCATACAATTCTGTATGTCTCCTTTGTTCTTGTAAATATGTACCACAATACTTTTCTCCATTTGTTTGACATTTTCTTTGTTCTCAACACCTTGTAGAACAATTTGGTTAGCCAGCATATGCCAATCTTCCTCATGAACTTCCAAACCTCTATTGGGATACCATCTGGTCTTAAAGCCTTTCCAAAGGGTGGCAATGGACCTAGACGCAACCAAGGACCCAAAGGGTCGGGCCAAGGTACAAATATTGCACCCGAACCCAACCCGAATAGTGTTATTATTTAAATAATATTTAATATTTAATAATCTAATAATATTTACTTAATATTTAAATAAGTGCAACTATATATTTTTATTTATCATATTTAAATAATACGCGTGTATATTTAACATAATAGTTAAATATTTAAAGGATAAAGTTTATATAAGATTGCAAACTTAACATGTAGAATTAAAGATGCGCCTCAAAAATCCATCGAAAAAAGTTGTTTTAATGTTTAAACACCCTCGAATTGATCGTCTTGAACATCGAGATATATGAATATGAAAAAAAAAAAAAAAGATTTTGAGTCCCAAAAATAGTGCATCTTGCAACATATCATCTAAACCATCCATTTTCAAGATTTTCATATGTTTATAGATCTACTTGATTTTAACCGTTTTTAGAGTTTAAAATTTTTATAATTAGAGACAAAAATAGATTTTCAGATAATCCTAAGCATTGTTTACACCAAAATTACATGTTATGATAAAATTGGAGGTGTGCCTTAATTGGATTGTTTATGGTTGCAACATTATAGAAACCACACCCATATTTAAATATGCATTTTTTTCAATTTTTGGGTCAGGTTCAATTGAGTCCGGGTCCAGGTCTGGATCCAGTAGGGTCTGAGGCCAGGTCTGATAACTTCGGGTCTAGTTGAGTCCGGGTCCGGGTCCCATAAATTTTTTAGGGTCCAGGTCCAGGTCCGACACTTAACCTGACCCGTTACCACCCCTAACCTTTATGACTTTCATCTTTCTCAAAGCTTCTTTCACTTCAGATATCCTAATCCCACAAATGTAACTATAACCTCCGCCCTCATTTATGTCAAAGGTTCCTTGTAACTTTGTGTTCCCATAGAGTTAACATATTTCTCATATAAACGTTGTGTTCTCATAGTGTTCGTTATGTAACAATTTTTTTAAAATAAATATTTCACCTTTCGTTGAGCTCATCATCTTTCACCAAGATCCTCTGATCCTCACTCTTAATGCATGTAATGTGATTTAGATCCCTAGACTTCCTCTCTCTCATTTTTACTGGTTTGAAGACATCTTTTTCACTTCTCTTGCCCTAATTTATTGTATAGATTACTGTTTTTGGCCTCTTTTCTCTATTTTCCGCATTGATTCAAAAAGCAGTCTGCCTAGGGCCTAGGCGAGATGGAGGGCCTAGGCGGACCAACTAGGCGGGCTATCCCTGGGTGCCGGTCTAGGGACCTTAGGCACCTGCCTAGTATCCGCCTTAGGCGGGCACCCAGGGAATTGCGCCCAACTAAGTGAAAACTACCCATCGAGTGGGGTATTTTTTTGGATTATAAAAAATGCACGAATATGCATATTTTGTACAAAATATGTACCTAAAATAGGGTTACTGAACACCATTTGCCCCCTTTTGAACCTAGGCCACTCAGGTTCTTGGTAGCCACCTAGGCGCTGGGTGGCCTAGACCCCCTCGGCCTCCTAGGAGCCGCCCAGTGTTTTTTGGAACACTAATTTTCCTACATCAAAATTGTATCGTTGCTCCATTTGAAAATGGATCTAACAATTGGTATTTTTTAGATAAAAAATTTAGGATCCATCAAAAGAGTGTATTTAAAAATAAAAGTTAAATCTCAATTTCAAACATCCTGAACAAAATATTGTCTATAGGATTATGTAACTGAGGGATCATACTGTTAGAGTTAAGTTTCTCTGAAGGGAACTCTCTGTATCCATGAATGTATGAATGTATGAATGTACAAACTTGTCTTATATAGACAAATAATAAATAATAAGAATAGAAAGAAAGCATAGACACCTATACTACACCCACACTTACCATAAAATATAGGATATTTCACCTACCCTTCCTATGCATATTGATTACAATATACACATTTCATACTAACCTTGTAGACAATATACATTTTCCTTGTTCATGGGCATATCAGGGAAGTTCTTCCTTAGCCAATGGAAAAACATTCTCAACCACCAACCGCAAAAGGCTGAAAGACCAAACAATTGGTTGCCAGCACTAGAAGGCACCATCAAGCTCAATTTTGATGGTTATTCCCTAGGAACCCTGGCCCGGCAGGCGCTGGGGGCGTCTTTTGAGACCATCATAGCAAAATCCTCTTTACCTACTCTGAGCACTTAGGCCATAAAGATTCTCAGTACACAGAAGCCATGGCCCTACTATTGGGTCTGAAAAGCTTGAACTGTTCCTGGAGTCCACACCTGTCAGTGGAAGGAGACTCACAAAATATTATCTCTTGGGAAACTGGGATGACACCACCACCTTGGTACTTAGCCTCAATTTTTGATGAAATTGCTCACATTTGCAGGGATACGAACGCCTCTTGGAAGCATATTTGGAGGACGTCCAACGAACTCGCAGATCTCATAGCGAAAGACGGAGCTAGATTCCAAGTAGAAGAACACGCTGAGTCCAACTCCTTTTTTGTTCTCGACCACAGGCACACAACATAGAATTTTTTGTATTCGGGCAAATCTATCAGCCCCTGTTTTTTTGGAAACTTCTTCTAAATCATTGTAATCGGGCGGGTTCTATAAGCCCATTTTTGTACATGGTTGGTTGACTCAATTTTTACCGAGAGACACGCCATGAGGGTTCTCTCGGATCACTATACCTCTGTAATCTAACACTTCTCAGCAATACAATGTTAGCTCTTTCAAAAAAATATATATACATTTTCCTTAACACTCCCCCTCAAACTCAATGTGATTTGGGAGAGAGAAGATGGAGTGTGGACAACTGGAGCATGCAACACTAAAAAAAAAAAAGACAACACCTTGAATTGAAAATAGAATCTTGGAGATGATCAAAACACACTCTTGGTAAGGATAGCCAGGTGCCCACAGTGTGGGAATTTGAACAAATACACTAATCATTTAATGTTGCTTCCGATACCCAGCTTTAGTAGCCTGATTTGTTCAAACCCCTATTACAGGACAGAAATGAACAAGCTATGGTTATGGTTGACATGGGGTCCTCAAGAGAGAAACGAGAGGGCAATTGTAAAGATAGTGATTGTCTAACATATGATAAACAAAGCCCTTGAATTCTTGAAATTCCTCATTGACCTTTTTAACAGCATTCTCAGATTCATGTTTCAGACAAAAGCCATCGACTATATCCCTAAAAAGAACTGCAAACTTTAGCTTCCCATGCTCATTTCATTTCTTAACTGCTCTTTGAAGAACCCTAACACTATGTCAGTAATATCAAGGGACACCAAGGAATGAACGCCCATCAGGAATGTCAGCATACTAAACATGGGTGATCACTTCAATACTGCAGACTTGAGCTTCTCATGCTCATTCCATTTCTTAACTGCCCTTTGAAGAACCATAACACTGTCAGTAATATCAAGAGACACCAAGGAATGAACGCCCATCAGGAATGTCAGCATACTAGACATGGGTGATCACTTCAAAAGAGAACAGAGGTTGCTTGACATGTGCATTCACCATTCCATTGGTAGAGGCCATCATATGCAAGTGTGAGTACATACCAGATCACCCACTATGGATGGGGCGCCTTTTGTGATGCTTTCCAATATTGACAGAGAAAACAAGAGCCGAAGAAGATCAGCAAATCAAAGCACAAATCGCCAACCACGACCGAGTCAAGCAACAGCTAAGTATAATCAGAGCTTGAAATGGAAAGATCCAAGACTGATTAGCAAGCCTTAAGAACAGAAGACAAGAAAGGGTATGTTCGAGCAACATCAAATCAACAAGCCTTACAAACAGAAGGTAAGAAAAGAGAAAACTTGATTAACAACAGATCAACAAACTTCAGCAATGGACAAAAACTTCACATCTTCGCCAGAGATAGAAAAACAGTCAAGATAACTAAAAAACGGAATAAGACGCTCTCAAATAATAACAAACAGAATTGATCAATAGTAGAACAACAGAATCGATCACACAGGAACATAATAGAACATATCAGCGCGAAGATGATCTCTTGCTCTAATACCATGTCATCGTCTGAGGTTTCTCTAAAGAGAACTCTCAATGTCCATTAATGTATGAATGTACAAATTTGTCTTATATAGACAAATAACAAATGATAAGAATAGAAAAAAATCATAGACACCTATACTACACCCACACTCACCATAAAATACAGGATACTGCACGTACCATTCCCATACATGTTGATTATCATATACCCCTTCCTTACTAACCCTGTAGACAATATAAACTTTCCTTAGCACATATAATCACTTGATGTTTTCTTTTGCACATACTTATCATATGTTATTATAACATAATATTTAATGTGTTTAACAACACACATTCATACAACCAAACATGAGAAATATTTCTTGCGTGCCATGTATGCACCAACCCCATCGGTGCCTACATAAAGTAGATATTGGATTTAGCTTGATACTTCTCCCCATCATGCACCTATAAAAAAATATTAAAATATTAAAATATCCCTAAAATATTCAGGGGTATTTTGGTAATTTTAATTTTTTAAAATTATTTTATACATATTTTTTATAGGCGTATGATAGTGAGAAGTATCAACATACCAAATTTGAGTTCAACATGATTAATTAAAAAAATATAAAATTAAAATAGATCATATATACACTTTTAAACAGTGGGACTCAATTGTAAAATATGAATTATGGACCATTTTTTAATTTCAAAAATAAAATAGAACTTTTTGTAAATTTATGGGACCATTTAAATTTCCCAATTTTGAAAATATATTGTTATTATTTATCTAAGATTTCATATATGTTGTAATTAATATATATAGCTTTTGAATATATACTGTTAATCTATACTATAAATATATTTTCAAAATCTATACAGATTTTAAATCTATACTATTAATTTATAACAACATCAAACCTTGATATTCAATAATATTAATTAATAACAACAACAACAACAATAACAAGTCTTGATAAATAATTGCTAAAACCCTAAATCAGTGAAATTAAAATCTATTATGTTTGAAATATTATTTACTGATTTTCAATATATTACTAATAAATAAATTAGTGAAAATCATTGACTTTTAAAATATTGTTTTCTGATTTTAAAATGGCACCCATAAAACCCCATCTACTATATATAAAGCACCAATTGACTTGGTGCATACATGGAACGCAAGAAATATGTCTCACGTTTGATTGTATGAATGTGTAGTTTTAAATATATTATGTTATAATATTATAATAACAGGTTACAAATATGCACAAAAGAAAACATCAAGTGATTGTATGATCCCTCAAGTACATACTCCCTCAATTTAGGATGTTTAAAAATACTTAAAATTTACATTTGATTTTAAGACGTACTCTTTTGGTAGAGCCTAAACTTTTTATCTAGAAAATGCCAATTAGTAGGTCCATATTCCAAAGGAGTAACCATAGATTTTTCTGTCATGGTAGCATGTATTTTCCAAACAAAGGAGTTTAATATGAGCATTTAATGGAAGGATTTAATGTTGTACCACATCCTACAATTGTTTGACATTTTCCAAAATAGCCAATATATTAAAAGCAAATGATAAGAGTCTATGAATTTAATAAAATGTCACCAATTTCAAAGTTTCTTGAAAATAGCACCTTAATTAATTGGAAAGTGAAACAATATTATCCAAATTAATTAAATTTTCATACTAGTTCAAGTTAACCCTGAAGAATGGTTAGGGGATTAAATAGGTTACAGGCCAATTAATTGCCCTGTGATTCTCCAAATTCTTCCTCTCCTAGGTCCATCGACATGAAATCATGTTTTGAACTATCTTTGATAGAAAAAGACAAGCAATTATCACAGGCCCTCAAAACTTTGCAACCTTGAAAAAGAATTTGGTTTGTATATACCAAAAATAGAGGGCTCAAGTATCTGCAATGCTGCTTCCTACAAGATAACTGCAATCAATGTGGCTGAGACAACCAAATTTGTGCCAAATAAGGAAAATTGTTGCCAGGCATTGCAAGACAGTCAACCAAAAAAATAAATCAATTAGTGACTCACACAGGATATAGATTACAAAATCCACAAATGTAATACATGCAGAAGTGGTCATGTATTTCGTATGTCTACACTCTACACTACACATCATGGAAAAATACAATTCAAAGACTGATTTTATTCATATCAATAGATGATGCAGAGCACACCTCAATCAAATGTCCAAGCCAATATAAACAGATTGCAATATCGATCAAATTAGATATAAAGTATACCACGGGAGAGCTCCCTTAGAGGAGGAATAGGTTCCTCCTTACCAGGGATCTCAATCCCATACAACTAGGATCAAGATCCTATCAAACAGGGCTCACAGGCCTATTTCCCATGGGGTCATGATTTCCCATTGAAGATGAGTGTAATTCCTCCTCACTGGGGGTCCCAATTCCATGCAATTGGGATCCAAAATTCTATGCAATTCTGCTCCAGGATACCCAGAGAGAGATGTTAATCCACTCCCATAACTATCGTTGGCACACTACAAGATATTGATAGTTTGATAGTCAAACATTTGCAAGTATGAAAGCAAAAAGTAACTAAAAAGGATTATTTGCTGTCCCATATACATAACGCCAAAAACAGATGTCCAATTGGGCCCATACCAAGGTCATTCATAAAATCTGCCACTAAACGCCACATTTTGGCATTGCTATCAAGATTAGAACCCTGAAAAAAATTCATTCCAAAGAATAATGTCAATAAATTGGTTTGAATAGGAGGTATTGAAATTACTGCCAGGAACTATAAGAGTCTAAGCATATGCAATTAAATTGTAATAATATAGGGTTATCAAATAGCTATAAATGACAAAAACATAGAAAAGTATTCTTTCAAAAAATAAACTGGGGCTAGGTATGATTAATCGAAGATTCAATTTCATAAATTTTGATGAAATTGGGAAGTGAACAAGGATTTTAGATCCATTTCTAAAGAATTTTCTGGCTAAGTATAATGTGCTAGATTATTGAAGCAAGTAAGGGCACTCATTTTAGGGAAGGAAAATATCATTACAATTAACAAAACACCTCAAAACGTGAGGTGGTTAAATCAACCATTTCAGTAATAAGGTGGTTACATTTTAGATATCCTTTAACTTTGGTACCTCCGCAACTATTTTATTTAAAAAATGCCCAAACTGCCCTTGTTCGGGTTTGGAACACTCAGTAATTTGGACCGACTTAAGTTTTCCTTAGCCAAATGACGGAAGAACCTATACTATTTCAAGGTTACAAACTCAGTACCGTGTTCTCTTACTAAAATCTCTTATTTCCGGATCCTAACCTTAGATAAGGAGAGCCAATTTATTAAGTTCACGCCAAAGTAACCTAAACCAAATAATAAGTCTACCCCCACTTGTTCAGGTTTTAGGAAAACAGGGAGCTTTTTCTTTTATTGAAAAATCTTGTTCTAAGTTCATAACCCAAAACAAGGAGGCGCATTTTCATCATTTTGCTCCACTTAAATGGCCAAAGTCAAATGACGTTTCTACCCTACATGTACATGATTAGGAACAAGACACTTTTTCCATTTAAAAATATTGTTTCGGGTGCCCAAAGCCCAAATGAGGGGCACTTTCATCATTTGCTCATTTATGTGGCCCAAGAAAAATGATGTGTACATCTTCACATTTTCAAGGTTAGGAATATGGAACAACATTTTTTTTCCTTGAAAAATATTGTTCTAAATCCCTAACCCTTAACAAGTAGGGGTATTCGCTCATTGCCACAAATTAAGTGGCCAAAGCAAGATGATTAATCTAATCATGTTTGTTTAGAGTTAGAAGCAAGTAAGGCTCTTTGCCTCCTTAAAAATCTTGTTCCCGGTTCCTACCCTGAACCAGGAGGCTTACTTTCATATTTTGCTCGACTTACGGGGCTTGAGCAAAATCATGATTCTACTCCTACTTGTTCAAGTTAGGAACAAGGAATGGACTTATTCTCCTTAAAAAATATTCTTTTTTCAGGTTCCTAACCCTGGACAAGGAGGAGCGTTCTCAATAAAGGACAATTCCTTAGTTCAAAACCAGGGTTTCAATTATAAACCCGTCATTCTCTCTATTTCTCCACCCACCCATCTCTTCTCCCTGTGAATCACTAGCCCCAACTAAAGTCAAGCAAAATGATGAATATACCCCTCTTTGTTCAAAGTGAGGAACCCGGAACAGGTTTTTCAAAGACAAACTATGTGTTCCCCATTCCTAACCTTGAACAAATGGGTGTCAAAACATGTAGATTAAGCCACTCATGCTGCGCCAAGTGACAAATATAACCATTCATGTTCCGGGTTAGGCATCCAAAATAATATTTTCCAAGAAAAATTGCATTTGGTGTAACCACCTTTGAACAAGTAGGCGTAGAATCATTTTGCTCAAGCCACTTAAGTCAAACAAAATAATGAAAACACCCTCATTGTTCAGGGTTAGGAACTGGAACAAGACTTCCGATGAAAAAAGGAAAATGTGTACCCATTTCCTAACCTTGAAGAAGCAGGGCTAGACTTGTCATTTGGCTTGGACCAACTTGCTCAAACTAAATTACAAAACCAACCTCCACGTTAAGGGTTAGGAACCTAGAATATGAAATTTTATTAGAAGAACACAGCCTATGTTTCGAACCCTGAACAAACAGGGGTATGTTTGCCATCTATCTCATGCAAACTCAAGTAAGGCCAAATTACTTAACGCCCCTGCTTGTTCCAGGTTCCAAACCCAGAAAGGACAACTAGGCATTTTTAGTAAAATAGTTGAGGATGCACATGAGTAGAAGAAATTTTAAATAACCCACTCTATTGCTAGTTAGTTGATTTAGCCCTCTCACTTTTGAGGTATTTCAACCCTCGTAGTGAAATTTTCCCATCATTTTGTTCCGAAGCATGGCCTGTTAAAGATTTTTCTCCAATACTATAATTAGAGTATTCATTGGACAGATGAAGTATTTTGTCTGTGGTTTAGAGCACAGCATATTATTCATTGGAATAACAAATATAAGATCCTTAATCATACACATGATAAGTCAGTTTGTAACAAATGCAACCTTTTTTTCCTTTTTGGAATAATGAGAAAGTGAAAGTAGGGGTGGCTATGGACCCGGTCCCAACAGTTCGGGGTAAGGTCCAAAAATTGGACCCAGCGGGCCGGGTCTAGGTCCATACAGTGGACCCAACACTATTAGGGACCGGGTCTGGGTACGGGTCACATATTTCAGTTATATTATTTAAATAATACATGCAATATTCAATATAATACTTCAGTATATAAATATATTTTTTTATTTTTGGATCGGGTCCAATCATGTCCGGTTGGGTCCAATAACTTTCGGCCCGGATCGAGGTCCGAACCGACCGGTTGCCAACCCTAAGTGAAAGAAGTACAAGAAGATAAAATCACATTGCCAATAAAAGTCTAAGAACCATATCCACTACAATGCACATGGGGTAGCTTAGCGAAAGATTACAATGCACATGTGTTACCTGATAGAAAGTGAATAACACACCACCCAACATCCCTGTGAAATCCCTTAGGAACCACTACAATATAAAGCGAAAAAGACAAGAATTAGTTAACAAGGAAATTCTAAATAGGAGCACGAACAAAAATTAGTTTTCTGTAGAAACAAACAATCAAGCTGATCATACAAACTTTAGCTACAGATAATAATATTCTAAATCCTTGTTATCCGAGTTCATAGAAGTTCTTAACACTTATGATAATCCCATAAGAGATGCAACTAATCCAAAAGAATTAGTCATTGCTTTTAGCGATCAAAGACGAGCCAAAGACCTAGACACCATAAATTTCCAAACTATACTCCACAAATGTTGCCTTTCTATAATAGCACAATGATAAAAGTAGAAAATAGATAAAATATGATATAAGATTTCACCAAAACCCAAGCTAGCCATCAAGGCACTGGGCTATCCCCTCAATTCAGCTGATTAGTTTTCTTTATTGACCTTAGTTTATCATTAAACAGTTAGTTGGGAAACATCTATAGATAAAAATATCACAAGAAATTTCCAAATTTGATGGGGTCCAGACAATTGACGTAGTGACAAAATCTTGCATGCATTCCCATGTTTGATGGGGTCACCAACTTGGCTCAGTGGTTAGAGCATTAAAGCTGCAGCTCCATGCTCTTGTGTGCAAAACGCAGATTACCAACTCCAAATTAAAAAAAGATAAAGCTGTAATCTCCCCTATCTCGTTACATTATTCTTTTACAAAGAAAAGAGAGAATATCAGAGAACAAAACAAGCATTGCTTGTTCTATAGCACTGACAACCACAACACACTTGTTCCCAAAAATGCCTGAACACTAACATGGATAACTAAGGTTTTTAACCCAACTAAAGAACCAAGTTTAATAGTTCTTCAATCTAATTTTATTGAGATTTGACAAAGCTAACATTTTAGAAATTCTCTAGTCTTCTATAAAATCTAAAGAATGTCATAATACATTTAAAACCTTCCTCAAGGAGGAGTAACGAGCAATTTGAATCACGTTAATATAAAGAAAATAAAATACAAAATCCTTTGATGTGGTTTCCAATGAATGCATAGAAGTGGTTAGGATCCTGACGCACCTGGCAGTCCTTTGACTAGTCAAGAAAGTTCCCATGAGCCTTTTGACCAATCAATCCATCCTTTGACGACCCCCCCTTTATGATGATCCACACCCCAAGGTTGCAAGGAGATCCAAGAGAAGGTCGACTGTTTGAATGAATTTATTGTTAGTTTATTGCTGTTTTTACAATTTTCTAGTTATTTCTAGTGTTTTAATTAAATTTAGGGACAGTTTATGGATCTTTTATGTTTTATTTATATGAAGGGACTTATGGGGTATTTTTATAATGTCTTAACTTAAATATGGACACTTTTAGTCTTTTTCTTCATCATCACCATAGTCTTTTCCTAATTATTTGGGGTCGGCTACACAAATCCTGGTCTGCTAGTCTGCTCTATTAAATGCTATACCCTCAGTGAGGCCATAAGTCCCCTTATCTTATCGCCAATTGATGCCACATCGAAATTTTTGTCTTGCCACCCATCCATCTCAACATCTTCATCTCTGCTACACTCATTTTATGCGTATACTATATTTTGTCTACCCAACATTCCGCCCCATAGAGCAAAGCTGGTCTCACAGTTGTCCTATAGAACTTTGCCCTTCAGCTTTGTTAGTATGCGACAATCACATAAAATTCTAGTAGCACATCTCCACTTCGCCCACCCAGCTCTAATTCTGTGTGCAACATCTTCCTCAATCTCTCCATTTTTCTGACCCAAGATGTCAAAAGTGCGGTCTTTTTTGTACTTCTTGGCCGTCAAGCTTAACTACTTCCTCGTCTCTACTTCTTTTATTATCAAACTTGCATTCCATATACTTTGTCTTGTTTATCATAATGTAACAAAAGGACATGGGGTGTTAAGGTTTCTAACACTTTTTTTTTTTTGGAAAGTGTTAACTGTTAGGGTTTCTAACACTTTCGGGGTATAAACAATAAAAACATATTTTGAATAGTGCCAGCAAGCTATCTAGGGTTTTGGGGTCACTTTTTTGTGCAAGGAAAGCCAGATCCACTCAAACATAGCCTATTTTGATAGTTATTGAACTGTTTTTGGCCTATTTTCTCTATTATCCTGCATCAAATTCCGACAAGGAAAGCATCAACGCACACATTGTGATTTTTGTTTTTTTTTTTATAAAAGTTAACTTTTGTATTGATATAAAGAGTTGGAATACATTTTGGGTTAATCCGAGAGTACCCACTAGATGGGGCTCTCGGTTAAAATAGGTCATCCGACCCTATACAAAAATGGGCTTATAGATCTGCCCGATTACAATAGATTTACAAAGAGGTTACAAAAAATGGGCTTATAGGTTTGCCCGTTTACAAAGAGATTCTACTGTGTGCCTCTGTGGTCCAGAGCATAAAAGGAGATGGGCCGGGTTTGGTCTTCTACAAGGGCCCTAACCCCATCCTTCGTTAGGAGATCGGCTAACTCGTTTGATGTCCTCAAGGTATGCATCCAGAAGACAACCATATCCCTGCAGATGTATGCAATCTCATCAAATATCGAAGTGAGATACCATGGAGGTGTGGATCTCCCGGTTGCCCATGATATAACATTATGCGCATCTCCCTCCACTATAAGGTTCTACCCCCAAGACTGATTGAAGCTTTTGAGGCCCAACAGTAGCACCATTGCTTCGACATACTAAGAATCTTGAAAGCCTATTGTGATGCTGGTCTCTAAAGACACTACCAGCACTTGCATGGTCAGGGTTCCCCAAAGAACAACCATCGAAGTTGAGCTTTATGACTCCTTCTGGGCGTGGCTGCCAGTTGCATGATCTTTGCGCCTTCCGTGGTCGGTGGTACAGAATGTTTTCCCATTGGCTTAGGAAAGTATTCGCTGAGAAACACAAAAAGATCCGTTGGTTGGATGCCTAGAAAGTTACTAAGGCTGTAACCTTGTGGAAAAGTGCTAGACCTTGGGTAATATGGCCTTGGAATATCCTTGAATTTCTTTCTATACAAATCACCCAAACAATGGCTGCCACAATAGCCTTCCATAGGATTCGTCCAACCTTCGTCCAGTGTGAAGTCCTTGACTGTCGGGGGCGTAGCCCATTGGACACCGAATAGCTGCAACATTTGACCCCAGATATCGTGGGCCACGTTACAATGAATGAAGAGGTGAGGATTCGATTCTTCCTTGCACAGACACACGACACATCTATTGGGAATAGGAATCCCTTTCTTTTGAAGCTGGTCAACTGTAAGAATCCTCTGCGACCCCGCTAACCAGTTGAAGGTCTGCACTTTAGGAGGTGCTATTGTGGACCATACCTTGGATAGTACAAATGGGGCATTAAGAGGGAAAGTGGGAGGTTGGATAAATCTTTTGTAAAAGGAAGCCACCAAGAAAATACCAGAGGGGGCAAAAGACCCTACCAATGAGTCCCTCCCTTGTGTTGAACTGAATAAACGATGCAAAGCTGCCGAAAGAGAGAGAAAGTGGTTTGTTTCCTCATCAAAGAGGTTTCTTCTGAAGAAGGGGTTCCACACTCTTCGGCCTCCCGCTAACACCATTTCCTCCGCAATGGTAGAATCTTTGTTAGAGACGATGGAGTAGAGGGAGGGAAAAGGTCCCTTAAGGGAGTGTGTCCGAGCCAAAGATCTGACCAGAAGCACACTCTTGGTCCTTCTCTTGGATGAAACCTAATGAATTTTTTGAACAGTGAGAGGGAAGAGGTGAACTTCCATGCTCCTGAGGCCTTGCTGAAAGATCTCTTCTCTGGCACCCAAGTGCCCTCAGGAATCTTATATTTACAGCGTAAGACCTGGGACAAGAAGGAATCGGCTTGAGTTGCAAGACACCACCACCACTTGCCTAAGAGGGCTAAGTTATGTTTTCTTAGGATCCTGATCCCTAAGCCCCCCTTCTGTTTGGGTAAGAAAACTTTATCCCAAGAGATTAAATCGTATTTTGTTCACTCTAGCTGACCCGTCCAAAGAAAATTCCTCATAAGTTGATCTAGCAGGTTCGCCACTGAGGTTGGCATTTGGAAAAAAGACATGAGGTAAACGGGGGCATTGGCCAGTGTTGCTTTGATCAAAGTGGCTCGGCCAGCCTGAGAAAGGTATCTCCCTTTCCATCCAGTCAAAGGCCTATCAACCTTGTCTATCACATGTGACCAATGTCTGTTTTTAAGGTAAGTTGTAGGAAGGTCCTCAACTTTGCATTCCCAAGTTGGGATAAGCTCCCTGATTTCAGCGTTGGCAATAGCTACCCCAATCATTTTTTATTTTTTCATGTTGGCCTTGAAACTTGTGGCTACTTGGAAACAATTGAGATAAAGCCTCAAGTTTTCAATTTCTTATGAGGAAGCGTCTAGGAATACCAATGTGTCATCTGAAAATTGCAGATGAGACATTGTAAAGCCTCGGTGATAAGTTTTGAAACCCTAGAGGAGACCTGCCTGGTAAAGACGGGAGATAGATTGGCTAAAGAATTCTGTTGTAAAAGCGAAAAGAAAGGGGGAGAGAGGTCCCCTTGCCATAACCCCCTGGGTTCCGTTTATGAGGATCGAGAAATGAGGACGAGCATAGCAACCTCTCATCCATTTTCTCCAGCAGTCTCGGAATCCCATTCTTGTCATTGACTCGTCCAGTATGGACCAATCAACATCATCGTACGCTTTCTCCCAATCTATCTTAAAGATGAGACCAGGCTTTTTGGACAAATGCCTAGAGTGAATACACTCATGTGCTATTAAAGCTCCATCTAGGATTTGTTTATCTTTGATGAAGCCCAACTGTGACAGTGAGATGAGAGAGGGAAGGACCTGTTGTAATCTTAAGGTCAGCACCTTGGCCAGTATTTTATTGGAGGAGTTGAGCAGACTGATTGGGCGAAAGTCCTTTAGCTCCTTAGCCCCTTCAACCTTGGGGACCAAGGCAATAAAGGTGGCGTTGATGGCTTTGTGGAGGATTCCCCAGTGAAAAAATTCCTCAAAGAAACTCATGAAGTCAGAGTGAAAGGTTTCCCAGAAAATTTTGAAAGGTGCCATGGGGAACCCATCCAGTCCGGGGGCTTTGTCTTTGGCTAAGTATTCTAGGGCTTCAAGGATTTCCTCTTCTAAAAAAGTCGCTCAAGCCAAAGAGCCTGGGCTTCCGAAAGAGTAAGAAAATCCAAATCGGCAATTTTAGGTTTGGGGCCCAAAGGGGCAACGTAGAGGGCCGGGAAGTAGTTTAAAATTGCCGATTCGATTTCTCCAGGCTGTACCCGATAGCAATTATTTGACTTGACAGTCGAAATGGTATTGTCTCTCTTGCGACAATTTGCTATCCGGTGACAGAGGCGTGTATTGTGGTTCCCTGCTTTTAGCCAATTTACTCTTGAACTCTGAAACCAGTACAGTTCTTCTTTTTTTAAGGTGGAGAAGTATTCAAGCGTAGTTTGGGTCCTCAAGTTTGATTCAGAGTCTATCAGAGGTCTGGACTCTTCAATACGGTCCAGATCTTGTATGGAGTAGAGGAGAGAGGACTTAATTTGAGAAGATGAATTTTAGTTTGGAGCCTATAGCCTGCTCTTCCCGAAACCTGGCCGGAGAAAGCGTTCCACCAGATAGAAATCAAGGTGGGTATAGACTCTTCTTCAAGCCAGGCCAGTTCAAATCTAAAAGGTTTCGATCCTCTTCTGATAGCTTGGGTGTCTAGAAGAATAGGACAGTGATCAGAGGTGGGTTTAGGCAAGGCCATGGCATGAGTGCTCGGAAAGAGTTCCTCCCAGTTCAGAGATAGGAGGAACCTATCAAGTCTAGAGAGAGAAGGTTGGGGGGGAGTGGTTGGACCATGTATAACGGCTTCCTTGTAATGGGATATCTAAGAGTTCATTTCGGAAAACAAAATCCGAGAACTCTGTCATTCCTTGAGAGATGGTAGAATTGGAGTTTCTCTCATGAGGCCATCGCGTGATGTTGACGTCTCCACCCAAACACCATACAGGGTGGGGTAAGGCAGCAACAAAGTCCAATTCACACCAGAGACGTGGTTGAAGAGTAGCTGAGCAGGGGCCATAAATGGCCGAGAATTTCCAAAGTAAGCGATCAGAAATGCGTGAAAGAAGTATGGTAATGGTAAATGGGATGAGAGGAGGAGATGATCTAACGGGTTCCAGATCACCCAAATTCCCTCTGAAGTCCCATCCACAGGTAGAGCGACCCATTGGCAAGGCCTTCTACCCTAGACCTGACGAATATGAGAGAGAGTGGGCTCGGGTAGTTTGGTTTCAGTGAGGGCAAGAATAGCAAGAAGGTGTTTCGAGGTCAAGTCCTTGACTGCCTCCCTTTTGGACGAGTGTCCCAAACCTCTTATGTTCCAAGGATCTTCATGGTTTGGGAATAGAAGCTGCGGAAGAGGCTAATCTGACAGACCTCCTCAAAGAGAGAAAGAGGAGGTAGTGGATGGGAGACCGTCTAAAGGGGAAACTTCGTATGAGAGATGAGAACAGATTGAGAAGCTCCCTTTGTCTTTTAAAACTCACCTTCAGTCAGCTCTAAGTGTCTGCAAGAAGGAAACGGTGCGCCGATCCTTTCAGGGCCTTCATGCTGGAAGCCCATAATACGATAAATTTCCTTCATTCTCGCCAAATCTCTGTCGTTCCCACCCCTGTCGACCCCATCGGCGTTGTCCCTCGCCAAAGGGGGAGAGATGGGAGTATTAGGATCCTCAGGCGACTCCATGGCTTGCTCGGAGGGTGGTAGGGGCAGATGATTGGAAGGGAAAGGTCAAAAGGTAGGGTAGGAACGGTTTCAGAGAAAGAGGTTAGGGGAGAGATGAAGGGATTAACCGGGCTAAGGGAAGCAGAGGGGGGGGTCAGAAGAAGATGAAGGGAGGGGTGGGATGGCTGAGGGAGGAGAGAGAGTAGGCGAATGTAGGGAGGGAAGGCAGGACGTGACAATATGGAGTAGCTCAGCAAAGGAAGGAGGAGGTGAATTCAACATGCCCTGGGCCAAGATAAGTGGGGGAGGGGATGAGGCAACGTTGAGAATAGCTGGGTAATGAAGAGCATATCGGCTAAGAGGGTAGAAGGATTCAAGGTGGACAGAAGAAGGGAAATATGAAAGGAAGTGGTGTGATTGGGGGGGGGGATGAAAGATGTATAAGGCCAAGCATAATGGAGGGCATAGTTAAAGTTGAGCGTACGGATTCTGCAAATATGGACCAAGTGGGGAGTGTAGGAAAGATGAGGGGCAAGTAGAGACGAGATGAAATCTGGGTCAGGAGGGAGTGGTCTGTGGGGTGCACAGCAACGATACCATAGGGGAGTAGAGGTTTGTCCATAGATGGAGTAAGAGAGAGAGGAGTGGGAGGTTGGGGGTCAGGTACAGCCTCCACTGTGGGTTGGAGGGGTAGGAAAGTGAGAGAGAGAATGGGAGAGAGGGGATAAGAAGGGGAGTTGGGGTCCAACGGGGTGTACTCCGTTATTGGGTCAAATGGGAAGGGTGTGTTCACAGAGGGAAGGTGGGGGTTAAGAGCGGGCTGGGAGGGTGCCGTGGGGAAGGAGGAGCACCCACTATGAGCGAAAGAACATTTGGAGAAGGAGGAGAGGTAAAGTGGTAGGATCTCGAGGGGTGGTAGGTGTTTGCGTGTCATTGCCGAGGGGAAGAGAGACAGATTGAGGCACCTCAAGAGATGACAGTTGGGGGTGGGGAGGGGGGGGCGGGGGGGTGGGGGGGGTAGAGGGCAATAGCAGGTGCAATAGAGATGAGGGTGACATATGGCCAGGAATGGGTGGCGCGCGTGAGATGTGGCAGCCGAGTGGATCTGATGGTCAAAGGTAGTAAATGCCGAGGGCCAAGGAATCGAGCGCGCAGGCGGAGAGGTCGAGGTAGGGGCCCGACGCACAGGCTCTGGTGAAAGATGGGCCTTAAGTCCGCAAGGATAAACGAAGTGGAGGAGCCGGGTCAGTCGAGGTGACCTGGCGACAAGGCCAACTAAGCGAGCGCACTGTCCACAATTAGTTCTTTCTCGGGTTGACGTGGGGGGTTGGAGCTCGGTCAGAAGAAAGCAAAGGCGAAATGACTGACCCGCCCACATCAGGTCTAAATCTCGTCAGGTGGGGGACACCTGCGGCCAGCGGAGCCGACTTAATGACATCATTCCTGTTTCCTGGCCTATCTGAAACATCACAACGAGGCTATCAGATGGCAGACCATGGTGGTTTTGGTGCCTTGTCCTGGCATAGCACCATGAGGTTCGATGGAGCAGCAGGGGGCTGCCGGCGGTGCCTCCTAGGATGGCAGTGTTTGTGCGACACTGTGGTCCAGGACTGGGAAATGGACTCTGTTGGTGGAGGGGGGTCCGTCTGATTGAAGTAGTGTGGAGAAGGAAGCGAAGCCACCGACCACGAAAGGGTTACCGGGAAGAAAAGGTTGTCGACTTCCAGCTAGACGCTAGAAGGGATGCGACTGGTATCCAGCGCCTCTAGAAGGAGACGAATGGAGCCGAGAGGGAGAGTCTCTAACGATTTCCAATGGATCGAGATTAGGTTACCGCAAACTTCCATCACTCTCCTAAAAGTGGAGGGGGACCACGCATGGAGGGGGATGTGGTCGAGGGTGAGCCAGACTCTTTGCTTCCTATAGAACCCTTGAGCAGAGGACCAAGCACGAAGGGTGCAGGAGGCTCCTTTGAAGGCAGAGGATAGAAGCTCCTGTAAGACCGCGACGCGTATTCAGGGGACGAGAAGGAGAAGAGGAAGTCACCGCTAGAAATACGTCTGCAAGTGAGGTTGGGTTCCCCCCAAATGCGTTTGGCCCATCTTTCAATTCCTCTGACATCGTCATGCATGGGTTGAAATCATGCCACCAGGCACGAAGAGAGTTTTTGTTTAAGCTGCTTAGACACCTCTGATGGGGTTGAGATTATGCAAGGGAGAAGGGGGGAAGGAGCAAAGATAATGTGACTCCTCTCGGGCGAAGCTGTAGGGGCGAGGGGAGCAAGAGGGCATTTTTGCAAAGGCAACCACCTAGGAGAAGGTGGCCTTAAGTGGTTGCTTAGTCGCCGCAGGAAGCTGCTCAGCTCCACTAGAAGAGGAATGGGGGACATCTGGAGAAGAGGGCTGAAGTCTAGAAGGTAGGGGGTGGGTTTTGAGGTAGAGAGTGTAGATCTGATCCCAGCTGAGGGGAAGAGGAAGAGGGGGATGACGGCCCATGGACTTCCTCCTCAATCACGTAAAGCACACATTGTGATTATCAAGAACGCTACTAACAAGGAGAAATTTAACAAAGAGAAATTTTACTTGTACCTAATGGTCCATGGAATCCACATGACTGCACTCCCCAATACCACATTATGAGGATTTATTTGAACCAAGAAGTCCCAAAACATATTTATTCATGTCTCAACCAATCTTTAAAAAAAAAAAAAAATGATTTGGAGCTCATAAAAGGCCGCAAATTAATTTCTTCTTTAACTACAACTCTAGACCGCCAAACAGGATCTAAATTTTTTAGAGTTAAAAAATATTGGTTTTTTTCCTTGCAAAATTGGTCAAAAAGTGAATCAATAAACATTTGAAAATTTCAGGTCCCAAAAATCTCCAAACATGGTGTTTGCAGGTGTGGTCAATGACGATTCATGGACCACTAGGTTGAAATAAATTTTCCCCTTGACAAAGAAGACACATAATGCTTTCCAATTTACAGGAAATATACATGGTAATTTTAGGAAATCACAAAACCTAAAATGAAAAATAACTACTCACAGCAACTCAGCAACAAAATAAAAATTACGGGAATTGTAATATTTAAAGTACAATATACTTCAAAGTTACAAATAAGAAGACGAGTTTACCTGAAAAGTAGCACCAATGACAGTAGCTGTCTGCTCACCAACTCCAATAGCACCCAAAAGTGCCTGATAAAAATATAAATAGGAAATCATAACTTATCAAACATAAAAACAATACTATTAAGAAAAACACAACAAGCATTCAAAGAGAAGTTATCAAAAGTTAGCTGCATTACCTGGGTAGAGAGCATGCATCGGATGTACGTTGAAAGACCCTGAAGAAAAGAAACAAAATACATTTAAACTTCGGAACCCAAATCCCTGTCACCACAAGAAAGAAAAAAGCAACATTCGGCATCACCTGCAATGAATCCCAAATCTGGAAGGGTACATAATCAGGTGTCACACTACCTGGGAAACCCTGTTTCATTAACAAACTACTAGTTATGAGAGGATTGAAATACCCATCTGGTTAAAAAGCTTGTAATGCCCTAATTTTGAAGTTCTAAACATGGGTACTATAGAATGGACAAAAGTAAACAACTTCCAAAGGGCAGAAACATAGGCTCCATTGCTAGACTAGAACCCTTTAGGAGGCCCATCAACCAAGATAGAAAAGAAACACAACCCAAATTTCATCATCACTTGCTAGATTCTTTAGTTTTGAATTCTTGAACCATGTCAAAGAAAAAGAAAATAAAATGATGCACCAAGATTTTATAGCATTGATTAATACTTTCAACATCATGGATTTATAAATTAGGTAGGCTCTCTAGAGGATATAAAAATATTTATGACTTAATGCTCACTATGTACACTACTCCATTTAATAATGTTTGTTGTATTTTTCCACTGGAAAAAGCTAAATGTTATTTCAAAATAATATCCTTTGAAACCATAGTCTTTGGAAAATATCATTTTATCCCACTATTGAAAGAGAAGGCTTGTGTGGAGCGTGTGACGTGCACATGCATGGGTGCAACATACCTTGAGGCAAACTTTGCATTTCACACACTCACATGGGCGCCGAGGCGCCCTTAGCACATGCACATGTGCAAGTCAGACTCAATGCTCACAATATTTTTGCACTCAAGAACCACCAAGTAGAAGAAGGGCAATGGCCCAGTCAGGAGATGGGCATTATGGGACTCACAGGGATAGGAACTCCCACCAGAGGGACTATTCTCGCACCGTTTAGAAGCGTGGGTAAGTACCAAAATGCACATAGTACTGCTCCCAAGTCCCACCATGATGAATAGTTTGGCTGTGATTTTGAGTGCAATGGTTCACTTTCTGGAACCCAAAAAGCCTGCAGGAACCAGGTGTTTGTTGGGTATCCAATGGCATGTAAGGTGTAACTGATGGACAGTAATATGATGGTTAAAGTCGAAAAATGAAGAGTCACAAATTTTCATATTTCAAGTTCATGGAACAGTCACAATGGGTGAAGGTGAGAGGTATTCTCTCCATTATATATATGGGACTTGAACTGCTCTCTTGATAAATAGTTTGCACACAGTTATATCTACTTTTCAGACCCTCTATCTTCTTGTGCGAACTTTCTCTCTCTAGAACAAAGGAACCTCTGGAGCTCTAGATCTTGAAGTGCTTGTGCATTTGGACATGCAAGATGGTGTTCAATCTTCTATTTCCTTGTATCACGAAGAGAAATTTTCCCAGCAAACTTAGATCCACACAAATTTTGATCAATGAGGGGCAAGCATTTTTTTTATGGTAGGGGCAAACATTTTTTTGATGGTAGGGGCAAACATTGTCTTGTGATAGTGAAGTTTTCACTCCTAGAAAAGATTGTTGATCCTCCATTTTGTTACCCCTCAAAAGTATTTGAGAAATATTATTTTTTTAGCCTCATTTCACCCACCAATTTCCAACAGCATTTTCACGTTATAAACTTTAGTTGTAACACAAAATTCATCAATGCTGCGAAACTATAACTTTGTGTAAATATAGTAGATGGTGAAAACAGAAGATAGCCTTCAATATTTTGTTTCCTTGTGTCCCAGTGAGAAATTTTCTGGGATAACTAAGATGATTACTGATTTTTATCAGCAAGGGATTAGATAACGCCTTGTGATAGACAAGTTTCCGTGCCTCAAGACAGGAAGATTGTTGATCCACTTTGTTACCCCTCTGCAAGTATTGACAAACTGCTATTTTTCTGCCCCCTTTCACCAATTTCCAAAAGTATTTCTGTTTCATGTACTTCAGTCGTAACATAACAATTTGTGAAACTCCAACTGAATATAAGAAATTCAAATGATGAGCACTTCAACTATTAGCATTGCATTTAATTTGGCAGACAATGGTGCATAAGTGTAATTCAATTTGCAATTAAATTGCACTCAATTTGTCCCAAACATATCAAATTCTCCAACTTGTTTCACAGAGCTATTTTTTGTTTAGCTTAACGAGGTGGCCTTAGCACCGAAGTCTAGACTTCTTGGGGCCAAGTTCAGCCTTCCAGCACCTCAACACCCACACACCTGCAAGGGACAGAAGGGGTTCAAAAGGGATGTGCCCAACTTTATTGCTCACTGTACAATTACAAGGAGATACTGCCACAAATGCCCCTTAAAGGTTCCTTACATTTGAATTTCAAAAACCTTGCTCCACCTGGCAGCCAACCTCTACCATGGCCTGCCAATATAACCACCACATGCCCTCCGCGCTCTGAGAGCACCATGATGTGCAAATGGACCATTGTAGCCTTTGTGCTCAGCCCATGCCACTTGACTACGCTGTCCTGGGTGGTGCACACCACCTGACTAAGTCATCATGAACCTGGCAAAAATTGAAAACAAACTTGGCCGCCAACAGGCACACCATCTGGCCCACCATCCAGCTCACCATACAATTGTGTGCTAACCTGGTAGTGGGGCGTGCACCCCCCACGTACCATGCTTCACACCCCCACGTACCATGCTTCACACCCCTTGTCTGCCACAGTGGGTCGGTCGGCCTAAGGCATGGGTTCCCTCCTCATAGAGGTTTGTTGGTCTAAAAACGAGACAACCATCAGTGATGGCTCTGTACACCAAAATGGCACAAATTCATATGGGACTTGCAATTCTTTTCTTCGATTGTGTTCTGCCCCAATGGGAATTGAAGTCCAGGGCCTCCAGTCATTTACAAACAAGTGCTGAGTTGGGGATCTGACAAGCCTCCCTCACCATGAGATCCTAACGCCTCATCAGGGGTCTAGCTAAGAGCTCCTTAACCAAACCCTTGTTAGTATTTTTGGTTTGAAAAATGCTTTAGTGTATTTCAAAACATCTTTGGTTTTATTGTACTTTCCTAAAATGCCATTGTAGAGAGAGAAAGATGTGGGTTTGAGTCCCACATTGAAGATGAGAGTTTGTTTTGCCATATTTAAGAGCACACATTCCCATGCAATATACTTTAAGTGCAAAAGAGAGAAGGCACATGTGAGGAGCACGCGAAGCGTACGACATGCACAAACACGTGCGTGTGCGTGTGCGTGTGCATGTGTGTGTTTGTGTGCATGTGCATATGCATGGGCGCAAGGGCGCTTGATGGCGCACTTTGCACCCTTGCATCGGTGCATGAGACACCCCTCACCCGAGCATGTGTGCGGGTCGGGCTCGTGGCTCGTTGTCTTTTTGTGAGCCCGATTCATAGGGAAATCCAACAGTCTTCTAGCCGTTGATGCGTTTGGGACATCCAACAGTCATCTAGCCGTTGATGAGATGGAGGCTTGTAACAGCAGCTATCAAGTGCATGTGACCATTCAAGTACTTGCAACTTGTAGCTGTTGGAGTGCAGGTAACTTGTAGTTGTTGGGTGGTGCATGTAACCACCACAACACTAAATGGGTAGCCTCTTGGTGCTCTATAACAAGGGCCCTCCTACCCATACATCTTTGGACACTTAGAACAATTTTTTAGCCTCTATCAATAGACTAATATTTGCAATTCCAGCAAGCAAACCAGTGGGCTAATTCTATCTCTCTACTCGATTTTATCTCTCTCTCTAATACAACAAGATTCTAGTGTCTATTGTGTGGGTTCCAAGCTCGGGTGCATAGAGCTTAGGAACATTGAAAAAGACCCCTATGTTTTCCTATATCCCGAGGACGATTTGCCCTTCTTATGCACATCAAATAATCAATGTTCGAAAATTCGGCCGCCCGACCACCTAGGCAGGAAATGTTTCAAAATGCCTAGGCGAAGTCTGGGCGGCAGCATAAGGCGTTTTGCTTTTGGGCTCCCACCTGGGCCCTATTCTCTGGGCGCCCACCTAGGTGCCGCCCCGTGACAATTTTTGGGCGGTGGAAAAAAACCCTCGAGTGAGGGAAAAATACGAAAGATGGTTTTAGGGGGTATTCTAAACCCCCAATATACAATATGTGGCATTTAGGGTGAGAAAAACCCTCAAAAACCACTATTTTGTGATTTATCGAAAGATCGATAAATTTTATATTTTTCTGATTTTTTCCCAAAACGAAGACAATAGTTTGTTGGTGGATTTGGAGTTTCCAATAGTTGATTTTGAGAACTTTTGGCAACCCAACAGACGAGGTTTGCACCAACACCGATTTGATTTTGATATATCTTAAGTATTATCATATTTAAAAGAGGGTTTTGATTTCATTTTGTTACAACATATTATGTTATGAATCCTGTGATTGTCTTTTACTTTTTTTTTTCTTTTGCGATATATTTACATGTTTGCAGTTAAAGATTGACTTTTTTGTTGATTTATTGATTTTTTCTCACTTGGACGATGAAATTGAGCATATATCGTATTCTTTTTCTTTCTTTTTTTAAAGTTGACAGTTAATATTACAGTAGTAAGAGTTTGTACAACAGCAAGGGTTGAGGTAACCCACAGACTGAGACTCTCAACTTAAAACTTGGTCACTGGGGTGTGACCTATTCTAGAATACTAGTTCTAACAATCCAGTGAGGCAAGAGAAAGGGGCTCATAAGAACTACCTGTTACAAAGTAGAAGACAAGAATCTAGAAGGAGGCGGCCTCCCCGCCGTGTTAGTGATTATATCTCCGTATTGTGTGCATCTCTACAAATACAGAAGGCTGGTTCCTAGTGGCTTCCTTAGTGAGACGATCTGCGAAGTTGTTGGACATCCTCCAAATATGCATCCATGAGACATTTATACCCCTGCAAGTGTGCTCAATTTCATCAAAAATGTGTGTTAGGTACCAAGGAGGAGGGGCCTTTCTAGTGGCCCATAACAATACGCTTTTGGCATCTCCCTCTATGTGCAGGTGTAGGTCCCAAGAGGGGTTAAATTTCTTGATTCCCATCAATCAGGTCGTGGCCTCAGTGGACTATGAGTCTTTGTGGCCAAGATGTTCTGAGAATGATAAGATGAGCACACCATTATGGTCATGGAATAATCCCCCCCCGTGCCTGCTGGG